TATGTATGTATGTATGTATATTTATATACTGTATATGTATGTATGTATACATATGTGTGTGTACATATGTGTATTCATAGGTACATATGTGTACATTCACAGCACATTAAGACAATATATGAATAAATTCTTGTGTTATTGCTGTGTAAATAAGTATGATTGTGTTAAAGAGAAATAACCCCAAAGGAACAATCAACATATTTCTTTATTACAAAATATATTTTCTTTAAATTCTTTAAAAATATATTTCTTATTCATACAAAATATGTTCACCCTGTGTGAATTTCCTGTCACTTTGCTACTGATGCACCTGAATATAACCACTGAGGGACAATAAAGATAATAATAAAAGTATTTCAGCATGAAAGCTTTTATTTTTATTGTGTGACCGTGTCCAATAACGTAACTACATCTCTGCTGTTTGTAACAAACCAAATCGTGTGAAAAAATAATCATGGAGTTGCGATTATTTTAATTGGATGAACAGCTTTCTCAGTGTAAATAAATGCGCTGGGAGCGCGAGAGGTACCCATCCAAGATGGCGGCCGCTCTGAAACGTCCGTCCGCTCTAATAGGCAGGGCCAGTCCGTAAACTATCTCCTGTACATATCTATGTGCGCGATTACGTACAGTAGAAGCAACGTTGGCTAGCTATAAAATTGGCCCAAAATAATAATAATAATAATAATAATAATAATAATAAAATTAACCACACTGTCATGACACTGTTATGTAATGTTTAATACAATTGTTTAATAAAAATTAAATAAATAAATGAAATTAGCCTAAATAAATAAATAAACAAATAAAATTAAATTTGGCTAAATTTGGCTAATTTGCAGCATTCTCTAATGTGAAGCCATTTGTTTGCAACAAAATTTTCATAGCGATTACGCCACATTCAATGTGTTTTAAGGATGAATATAAGCTGCAACCACATCAAATTTTAGCTTATCATCAGTGAAACTGGCTCATTAATTAACTGTTTTTGTTTTCTTTCACCATACCGTGGCGGCCATCTTGAATCAGAACTAAGTTAAATCAACAAAAGATGCAATGAGCACACATTTGCATCTGAATTTAATAAAACTTCTCAGTTTTCTTTTGTAAAATAAGATCATATTTGCAGTACATTTAAATTGAACAGTAACATGTTCCAAATCTCTGCAATAAAACATCAAACAGAATGGAATTTTACTATCTGCTGTCTTTCTCATCCATTTAGAGTCAAGCCTATATAAACCTGTGTTTTAGTAGTTMAAAAACTTGTAAATTTTACTGAAGTGACTTAAAAAAACTTTATTCACAGCGCATTTGATGAAAAGCAACCCAACAAAAATACAAGTTGAAATACATAAAAGTACACAAAAACAAGCATGAATTCAGATTTATATACATACTTATACAGTCAAGTATACAGCCATACATAAACAGTAAAAAAAATATGTAAAAGCTTTTAAAAGTATTTACATTAGCGTTTATCTCAGCTTTAGAGGTGGTGCATTTAATTCAGTCAGAACAAAGTTGGGCCTCAATCCTCCTAAAAAGTAATGGGAGTAATAATACTCCAGAGGGAGCTGTGGAGTTGTGTATTTTAACAGCACAGATTGAACAGACTCAAGAATAAATAGGTTATTTTTTTGTACATTTCTGGGAGGTGAACTTATGTTTCCACGTATGTCCACAATAATCCTAAATTTATATTACTGAAAATAAACAAATCCAGTTTCAAAGATGGTGCTGAAAGCAGAAAAGCATGACTTCTTGGACATACCCTGTTCCAGACAATAGAACAAAGAGAGCAAGAGTCGACATCACATCAATGCAGAGGAAGCTCCAGCTGTGCATTCTGTGGAGTGTTCACATCCACCAACAACAATGTTCCCATCTGCATCCCACTTTGACCATACGACCAGTTTCCATCTGATTGACCCCAACAAAGAAACTCAACGTGTTCAAGTACTTCCAAGAACCTCAACATCACTGCTGTTTTTTATTTTTATTTTGCAAAGTCATTTCAAAGTTTATCTCCCACAGGCATCAGCTCAAAGGTCGGTGTTCATCTTCSCTGCTGCTGCTCTCACCGCCTGTAATTTCCTGTTAAATTGAAAGGAAAATGTGCAGCAGGGCGCAAATGAGGTAAATGTTTAAGCCAAAGTTTCCAGTCGGCACTGCTGATGAAATCCTGAGAGACAGGATTCAGAGCAGAAGGACTGAAATCCAGAAGTGGGAGGTCTGTTTATGAACCCTCACACCAGTGTTCATTTTAATTTCCAGGAATTTTAGGATATTCCAGCAGGAAGTGTCCCAGTCTGCACCAGACATTACTGTTATTTTTAGATGTAATGGTTTCTGAAACAGCTTCTGTAAAACCTTTTAGACTGAAGCAGTAAGAAAGAGGAACAAATAGGACCAGAACTTGGAAGTTGAAGCAAATGYAGTAATTTTGTCTAGCTACTGATGTTGTTACACATACTTCCTGCTTTGCTAAATATCTATTTTTCTAACGCACTTAGCTGTAATTCGTTATTTGACGCTTGAAAATAACACTCTGGACACTCTGGCTCTAAATATATATGAAATTATGGCTTCACTCTCAAACAGGAAGTAGCCTGGGACACAGTTTTTAGAGGGATAATGGTGGGCGTGGTTCCATTAGTCAGCTAACAGCAGAACTAATTTTTCGTTTAGCGGATTAAAGGGGAATTTTGCTGTATTAATAATTAGCTGTTAGTGTTAGCATTGCTAATGACTTGTTTAGTGTTACTTTCTGCTATTGTTTTTACAGTCTTAGTGGTTTAGCATTAGTGACACTATATTTTTAGTTAGCGAATTCCTACATGTCAACCTCTTCGGACGTTTACCTGTATAAAAAGCCTAAAAAATCCGTAAATTTWGCTAAAAATCCGTAAAACTCGCACTCGTCAACTGCGCACATGACAGCGCCCGCTGCGAAGCAGAAGGAAGGGAGAGAGGAAAAAGTTCAAAACTTATTTCTAGCACCAGAACAGGTTGGAAGATGGCTATTTGACGTTATTTATTGTTTTTTAAATCATCCTACAGGCTCTGACATGTTAGATAAATTTGAAAATGAGGTTTTGAAAAAATCCCGTAAGACTTGAAAAAATCCGTGAGATTGCTCTACACGTCCGTATACCTGCAAAATGACGTAAAATCCTTATAACTTACAGACAATCTGTACAAGTTGACATGTATGGAATTAGTTTGCGAAGCTAACTTTCTGGTTAGCTGTGCCCACAAAACAGAAACAGTGGTGGT